TGTTGTGAGCCTGTACAGGGTCATAACAAGCGCACTAAACTCTCTGTATTTTCTAGAAATATGGAAACACTGCTGGGAAAACAAGTCTGTCCCTAGCATTGAGCCCAACTTAGTTTTGCACTTTGCTATACATTTTAGCAAGTCCTGCCATAATGAGCTGTTAACAGAAAATATACAGCACTATAGCCATGACAGCCTCTGCATTAGAGCTTCCTACCTGTGAGAGGACGACCTCATTCCATTTCCAACAGAGACGGTGTTGGCAGTGTAAGAAAGGGCTATTTTGTGTGCTGGGTTGTTTCTCCTCCAGTGCCTATATGAGCCATAATTGGAAGGAAACTGGTTATAATTCAATAGATGATGTAATGTATATCCAGTGTACAGACCATATGTTATCTTCAGGACACTTCCTCTGATTCAGGCAGCTCCACAGGTAGGAACCCTGGTGCCAATTAGCCATTGTCATCTAATTGTGGCTTAGCCCAACTCAGGAGGAAATAAATGTTTACCTCGTAGCTGAATCCTTCAGCTTCCTTCAGTATCCCAGTTCAAGACATAGATTTGTGGCAGTGGTCAGGGACTAGACACTGTGTTAAGCACTAAATTATGTTAACAAATGCATGTTTTATATCTGCAAAAGAGTTAATATTGATAAGCATATGAGTTTCATATTCAGCAGAACTTTCTGGGCATATACCTATGTGCCAGTGCTTTGCAAAATCGGGGATCTGGCACTTGACACAAGCATTGCAGAAACTATAAATAGACTTGATTTAGTTGTTATTTAGGGGAAAAAGTGTTATAATGAAACCTTTTTACAGCCCATAGTAATCTGCTATGCTGTGTGTGAGGTTGTTCAATCTGTGTGCCAGTCATGAAGAGGAGTGCAGAGTGGCTGAGCAAGCAGGGAGAGAAAAAAGCCTCAAGGGGAATGTGAAGCATGTTTTGCTTTACTCTGAAGCTGTATAGTATTATGAGTTTAACATGTTTGTTATGCATATCGTGATTTAAACAACCAACAGAAGACAGATCCTGCTATCCAAGACACTAAATGTCCTTGATTTCAGCTTAAATTAGGATGCATAGTCAAACAATGATTCAAATGACAGGTTCAGTGAAAGGTACTTAAGGAAATTCCCAATCAAACCTGCCCACCAGAAGTGACTTTTCTGTTTTATTTGCATTAAAAAGTAAAATGCAGCTTAGAATTAAGGGCTGTGTGTCATCCTTTCAGCAGAGGGAGATGCACTGGTTCCCTGTAGAAGAGAAGTAGAGTCTGATTCCTGCCAGGTTTTGTCCTTTTGCTAATTCAGCTTTCCTTACGGGGACCATCACAAACATGGTGCTGGCAGTTAGCCAAAATTTTTCTTTGAGATTCAGGTTCAATGTCAACTTTTCTATTTTTTTTTTAAAAAATCAGTTCTGCTTCATTTGGACTTAAGCGCAGACAATACTCTTTGGAGAGTGTCGCTGTCTGGAGCATGTTCATGTTTGTGTTAGAGGGCTCAGAGTCTCACTGCTCAGGCTGGAGGAGTTTCCTGTTATAGATTATCTCCGGTGATATTTAGCACACAGCTCACATACAACAAATAAAGGCCAGCAACGTGGAACTGCTTCTGGCAGCTTCATCTTCTGATAGACTTTGAGCAGTTCCATTTTGTCAATTTTACTTTAACCTCCCAAGTCTATACTCCAAGAAACGATGTCGGAATACCCTTTCTGAGCTTGTGCACATCATGCAGCTCATCCATCTCTCCCCAGCATCTCATGAGAGGTATTTTGAGTAGCTGATACTAGTTAAGTGATACGCTATCCTCTGGTGGTCGAAGAGGGTTTTTTTACTGAGTTCCTGTGCTCTGGCATGATGCTGCCTAGGGTATGGCCTCATGTGATCTGGACTCCCTGTATGTTACCAGTGTCATTGCTGCTGCATTTCCCATTGCAGGATCAGTGCCTACAGGACTGAAAATCAGTACTGTACGTAGTACCCGAGGCCCAGTCATGTGTTTGCCATGCAACGTACTGCCGCGTCCTTTTCCTTATTAATTTGTTCTTTGCCGAAGCCCGATTCTTTCAAGGAGGCTGGGAGGTGACAAGTCAAACTCTCAAAGCACTCGTGGGAATGAGTGCTGGCATTGCTGATCCGGCCCTTCTGCGTACACCGCATGGTTGTTTCCACTCACAACAAATATTGCAGGAAACCTTAACCGTCCTTTGAAAATCTGTCGATAGACTATTTCTTCGTGCTTGCGCAGAGCTGCTCTGCTCCCAGGTTTGCAGTGTTATTGTAGTGCTGGGCTGAAGGGACCAGACGGATTTCTTCTGCACGTGTGACATCAGGAACGATGCCTGCGCAAGATCTGGCACAGAAAACCCTCTCCACTTTTAATATATATTGTTGTGCTTTGCTTTTTGCTTTAGGCATGCAGCTCTGCTGCACATAGGCCTCTCAGGTGCTGTATCTTCTGGCATGAATATTTCAAGGAAAAAACCACTCTGAATGGAGGGCAATAGCAGAAGAAAGGCTGTGTTTTCACCACAACCTATGTGATAGTGAAATCTGCAAAACTGGCTTCACACCCACAGGAGGTCCTAAGAAGCCAATTTTTACTCTCTGATACTTCGCTGGTATTGTAAAATAACTCCATGGAGCAGCTGAAACAAATTTCTCAGAGAGGATTTTCAAAACTGTCAGTAAAAATCCAACAAATCAAGGTATTAAGTACATTTTCCTTCACATCTGCTCTTACTGGCCTTACTTCTCAGCTTCTCCATGCAAATCTGCCTGTGTAGTATCTTCTGGGGTCCCAGCCTGGGATTTCTGATGACTGTACAGCTTTTCCTGTTACTGAGAAGGGTGCCCAGTTAGGTCCATCTAAATAGTACAGTTCCTATATAGGAGCATTCTTGTGTCATATGGGCTTACAACTGATTGTTAAAGAAACATTTGGCCCTAGAGCTGATGACTTTGACAAGAGGGAATCAAAGTGCTTTTGCTATTTAATTTGCAGTCCCCTGGTATATGTATTATTCCCAGTACAGTACAAATGAGTGCCTCCAACTCATTTATTTTTCTAACCAAAATATTTTCTTCCCTGATTGAGGAAGGCCCTGAACCACAAAATGTTAGGAGCATGTTTCCGAGGAAGTATCAGTATGTCCTTTCCCTCTTCTCCTTTTCCCTATGTGTCCACAACAGGCCGCTGTCAGAGAAAAGGCAGCTGGGCTGGATATTCTGACCTGGGATCACCACTCTTTTTATATGCACAAGCGATAATTGAAGTGTTTAGCAGGGTTCACAAGTGCATATGTGGGAGCTTTGAAAGGCCCTCAAGGATGATCAGAGACTGGATCCTTACACCCTCTTTCCAAAGTCAAGGGTGTCTGAAGGGCTGATCTCTGGAGATTCTGGCCTGCAGGAGTTCAGGGTGACCAGGTTCCTACTGTAGACACTTTTGTAACTTTTGTTGCTTAACATTAGAGAAGGCAAAGTCTGCTTTAGCCCCTGATTGTCTAGCCTAAATTGCTGTAGGTCATGCTGAGGATTAGCCCAAGCTTCAGGAAGGGGGTTGGTAACGCTGCACAAAGTTAGCTTTGGCCCTTCTTCCCATGCAGCACCAATTGCAGCTGAGACCGAGTTCAGAAACAGTCTCTGCTCCTTCGCACAGCTGGGCTGCTGGCACGCTAGAACATTTTGCATATGCTGATTTAACTTTTGGAAAATTCATTCACACAGAAATCTTCCCATTCTCTTAGACAAAGGATTCCCCCCCACACCATTTTGTTGTCAAAATCCTTTTCCCATCTGTTACTGAGGCAGAACAACCTAGTAGTCGGGATGTTTCATTCATGGATAAAGCTTTCATTGGAACTTGTTTTAAGAAGCTGAAGGGTCAGGGGGCGGATTTTGCTCCCAGTGAAATCAGCAACAAAACTCCCATTGATTTCCTTGTGAGCCGAATCGAGCCTCTCCTGACAATGAGGAGATTTTTAGAGGAGTTATGATGGCTGTGGACGAGGTCTTGTTGCTTTGCCCTTTCAACAGAGATCTGTTTCTGGTGGAGGAGCAATCAGAATATTTGTCTCTTTAAATGGATGTTTCTTAGAGCCTGCATTGCGAGGCAGTCTCCCTCTCTGCGGCTGTGAGGCTACTCAGAGCCTCCCAATAAATCAGCATGCAGGAACTGAGAGCTCTGTCCTTGAAGAGATGCACAGTGACCTTGCTTACGCTTACTCGGGAGGAATAACCAGGGGAAATACAGGAGCCCAGACAGTGAGTGGTATATGACTAAAGGCACTGCATTCTGCGTGCGAACGCTACGGTACCGAGGGCACAGTATGGACCGTGCGCTGCTGTGCAAAATGCAGCTTTCCTGCTAGTCTGACCAGATCGCTGCTATTGTGGTTTTTTTTTTTTTTTTGCAGGGGACTGAATGAAAACCTCCTGATCATTACATGCTTGTTCAATAATAGCACACCCCAGTCACGTCTCCTTGCAAGCACATTTCGTTGGAATCGCTGAGCAGAAGCAAAGAAGAGCTGACGACTATGTGTTTCCAACGCAGGTTGCCGGAGCCCTGTGTTTGCCATTGGCTGCAGTTTTCTGGTTTGTTTGCAGCTTCCCCCATCTGGAATATGAAAATGGGATTGAAGTAGATAATTGCTAGCAGCGGGTTTTCAGGAGAGGCTTAGAGGGAACAGAATGCCTCTTGCACAGCACAGGCTGCCTGCACTGAAAGAGCGCTGAGAGATGATTTTAGATGTTACCCACGTCTGAATCGCCTGGAAACTTTACCATGGAAGCAAGCAATTGCGCACAATTCCGGAGCTAACATCCAGAAGGGGCAAGGAAGGGGCAGCAGGGCCAAACGATGGGATACCTTGTCCTTGGATCGCTCACAGAAAAGCCAGAAATTCCCCTCCGCTTCCCAGCAGAAAGGGCATGAAGGTGACAATGAACTGAATTTTACCCAGTGGAGCTTCAGTGGATTTTAAGAAGGATGGGATACACTGACCCTTCGTCAAGCAGGGATTTGCTGGGAAACAGAACTTTGTTCTTCATATTCATCTGCGCCTTTGCCGTGGTCACCTTGCTGCAGCAGATCCTCTATGGGAGAAACTATCTCAAAAGGTAAGGGGGGGTTTTGGGGGAATAGGAAAAGTTGTCTGATCGGAATGAAAGGAGACAGCCGTACCGTTATATCAGTTCAAAACACTTTTTGGTGTTGTGTTGACAATATCTTGTCAGTCTGGAAAGGTGCATCTGGCAACTGTAATGTCTGTTAGGTTGTTAATAAGGGAGAGTATTAGGCGGAATATAATGATTTCTGTGTTTCTTAGATTGTGTTTTAATCCCTGGCTGTTGTAAAAATCAAGGTCTTGCTTGAACTAGACTGACTGGTGCTACTTGAGTATTTGCCTCTGATCAGACCCTGCCATACAGGCATTTCACCCTATGTAAAAAGGCTTTATAGGTTGAATTAAGGTAGCATTCTCACTGCCTAAAGTTTAATGTTTTTAGAAACAAACATGCGGATGCAATGCCTAAAATCAAAGTGGCAATATTAGTGTTCCAAATAACAGAGAGAGCACTTTATTTTTCACTGCTGTGTTCTCATGAATTACTGCTGAGACTGCTTTGTTGTAGAGCACATCGGTCTTTGATCTGAAAATGGTACAGCTCTTTTTACAGCGAACGCCAGTGGGGATCATCAAGGTATTTAACCTTGACCCACGCAGAGTTTATTTTACTTAAATCTAGTACGAGTTGTTACAGCTTATATTATTTTATAAAGAGGGATATATCTCTTTCATGCTTTGAGGTAAGTGGGTTTCAGTAGTGTAGGCAGCTTCTGCAGATTTTTTTTTTACTGGAATTTAGCTGCGTTTTGCTAGAAGAGATCAATGATTTGATTCTTGCCTGTTTTGCAACTCATGTAGTTGTTTGCCTTGTGCCAGGAACAAGCAAAATGTTGACAAATCAGCAAATGTTTCTCGATGGAGGGGATGACACAACAGCAAGCATGATATTAATATGTATAGACAGGAGCGTTGTAGTTTATCCAAAGAGCAATTTGTGTGCCTTGCTTAGCAGTGAGGCCTTCTCTGGAGGACTCCATCTGCTTTTGGGGATCTCACTTCCAGAAAAATGTGGCTCCGTTGGAAGGAGCCAAAGGAAAGGAGGAAGAATAAGCAAAGGTGTGAAAAACCTATGTTGTTCTGGCATGAAGAAAATTAAGGGGAGATACGATAACTGTCTTGAAATACCCAAACCATTTCTGACAAGAGGAAATTACCCTCCTCACACATATCTGTGAAGACTCACGACATGGCAAGAAGTCGTGGAGTCAAGTTACAGCAGGAGAGCTTTGGATTTAATGATGAAGGGAAACTTTTAAAGAAAAACACTGCCTGAAGAGGTATAAAATCTCCATCTCTGGGGGCTTTGGAAACCTGTTAGACAAGGGTAGTACTGAGCTGCCTTGGTGTGTAAAGGGTGACTTTATGACCAGCTGAGGTCTCATCTTGCCTTATTTTCTCATTTTTTTCCCATTTGTCCTGGAGGCCTTGCACCCCTACCGGTGCTTCTTTTCTAACTTGAAATGACTGCAACAGGATTAAAGCAATGAAAAATAAATCCCAAGTATAAATTGAAATGAAAAATGGCAAAGTAAAGATAACAAGATGAGAAGTTGAAATTAAAACTCTTATAGTGAATGATCTCTGTGGCCAATCTCTGTCCTGCCTTATGCCCTTGGGAACCTCTCCTGTCATCAGTGGGTTGCAGGGAATGAAAAAAAGGTGATGACCAATTCCCAGGCTTGCTAGGAGAAAATCTGGTCCTGAGCACTCTGCCATGAAAGGGGCTCAAGCACAGAGATGTGCCTATACATTCTGTCACTTTGGTGGAAAACGATATTTTTATTTTTTTCTCAACCCAGCTTGCAATGATTTCTTTTTTTTTTTTCCCATTTTTTTTTATGTCATGGAAGAGTCTCGGAGAGGATTGTCCCACATCCACCCAGTGCAGGGATAAAAAGCACTTTGATTCCTTTCTGCTGGGAAGCGGTAGCTCCCATCTTTCATGGAGATAAAAGTGCGGGATGTGGCAGACTCAGGCTGTCAGTTATTAATGACAGGTGATATACGTAGCAGCCGATGCTGCTGCCATAATATTATCATGAAGGTACTTTTTCTTTCCCTCTCTCATGCCCTGCAGCATATTATGGTGACCATCTCCAGACAGTCTGATTGCCAGTCCACTGCGTGCAGGGGTAGCTGTCACCTTAAATTACTCTTTCCTTTCACAAACCTCCGGTGTTAAATCTCCTGTTAGAAGCTGATGCTGACTGTGAGGTTCCTTGGACACATTATAGCTTGCTCCTCCAGGGACTGTGGTGGAGCTGGTGGTTTTGGAGAGCATCATTGCAGAAGAGAAGTGGGATATTTATAGCTTTGGTGCTGCTTGCCAGGCTGGAACTTGGGGACGCTGCCTAAACCTAAAGCCTTTTACTCGCTAGGAATCAACATGCTCCTCGCTTTATCATAGCCTTTGCCTGCATCCCAACATCTACAGCAATAACAGACCTCTGGGCTTCTTCCCAAGGCAGCGGGAAGGAATTCCCTAGTGTATTTAGAGAAACCTGAAAATTGCCCTGAAGCACTATTCCAGAAGATGTACACTGATTTTAAGCCTAAATATAACACAGGGCTTGTTTCTTTGCAAGAAGATGGTGGAAATGGGTAAAGGCCGGCAAGGCAGGGGGGAATCTGAGCGAAACCAAGCAGCTTGGGCAAAACACAGGGGACAGCATAGACTAGGGACTGGCCCCAATAAGCAGTGTGGATAAAGGTACCCTTTTCTGGGAGAAAGATGGGGAAGTTAGCTGTATGGCTGTGAGCTGTGCTGTGCCACTTACAAGCAGGGAGTGGGACTGAGTTTATTGCCACAAAAACCCACCTGAAGTTCTCCGTGGAGGCTTGTGGTCCTGCATTTGTCCACAGCTGTGCTCGCAAAGCCTGGCTGTGGGGATGACGGGACCCGCAGGCAGGAGAAGATGCTTCAGGAAGGAAACTCTGCTCAGTGAAATTTCTAGTGAGTTCTGTAGCTGAACCTGCTCTCTCTAGGTGATCCCATTGCAGCAGGGGGGTTGGACTAGGTGATCTTTCGAGGTCCTTTCCAGCCCAGAACATTCTGTGATTCTGTGAAATTTGATAAGGGGCCCAGCCTCTGATCAAACCCTCTCTTTCCCCTTAATGAGATATTAATGAGCTCCCGGCATTGCTGAAAGAAGAGGAGGAGGAGGAAGAGATTGAATTTCTAGGTATTCACACACTTTTCACCCACCATGCAATGCTCTCTGCTCTTTCCACTGCTGTTTTATACTGTGTCATTGGAAAGCAGAATCCTGCCCATCTGTTTTTTCCCTTTTTTGTAGTTTCTTCTCCAAGTCAGATGGATGTGGGTGCTCTCAGCAAGGCCAATGCCTCATCCCCATAATCACCGCTTAAGTCCTACCAAAAGAGTTAAACTGCAAGCTGGAGAATGACACGGGGAAGCTCTGGTCTCTGTAGCCCCTGATCCTGAGTAAAAAGGATGATGGAATGAGATATAATTAAGGGACTTTAATACAGATCTCTGGGGTAATTATTTTTATTTTAGGATTAATGTGATGATTAAAAATCCACTGCATTGATCTGCTAAAGTAGGTTAAATGCTCTGGACTTCTGCTTAAATCCAGAGCTGCCACTTGCTTTTGTATTGACTCATCTTTTCAATGCTCGGCTTTCAGCTGATTTTCTTTTGAGTCAGATGTTCAGCTGAGGGTAGGCCTTTTTTTGTAAGCTCTTGTTCGGTTAGCAGGAAAACAGTCCTGGGTTACATCAGGAAACTGTGACTATGTTAAAAGCTGTTGAAAAGGTTCCCAGCCTGTGGCATGGAAGAGGTCAATAGGATAGTCCTTGCTCTTGCTTTGGCAAGAGAAAAATATCAGAGCAATACTTTGCTATATACCAATATTCTGTTTGTTGACAGCAAATTCACTAAATACTGTTTTTTTAAACAGTTTGACTTCTCCACAGGGCAAGAATCAGCTGAAAAAGGGAATCTGCCCCTTTAAAACTATTTTTTTTTCCCAACTAAGCGAGGAGAACGCATTTTCAAAGCTATTAAAGACTTTAAACAAAGATTACCCTGGGGTCAGAGGGGACACATAGTACAATAACTCAAAGAAGCACACAGCAAGAAAGAGCAAACCTTCTCATGCAGGCAGCCTGCATTATTTGAAAGCTTTACGTCTTTTAAGTGAGAATAAAACATCACTCCTATGTGTGTACACCCTATAAGTAATCTCTGACTCTCAAAACTTAAGGTTATACCACATTTTGTTATTTATGAAGCAGGATTTGTTCAGCAGTTGCAAATCAATCACCAGACATCTTTACCCCTTTCCTTACCCACGTAAGAAAGATAGCTTATGGTCATTTTTTTGTGCAGCGGGGGCAAATAAGGAGTAAACCCAGAGAAAATAAACCTGGACTACGCCTTGAGAGATCATTTAATCTATACTGTGCTGTAAGACGAGGTCATATCTTAGAATCATAGAATGGTTTAGGTCAAAAACGACCTTTAAGATCATTGAGTCCAGCTGTTAACTTAGCACTGCCAGGTCCACAACAAAACCATGTCCCTGAGCACCACATCTGCGTGACTTTTAAACATCTCCAGGGTTGGCGATATCACCACGGCCCTGGGCAGCCTGTCCCAATGCTTGACAACCCTTTCAGTGAGGTAAAGGTTACTTACATATCTTACATTTTATCCATGTATCTTATATGTGTCTATATATCTTATCTTACATGTCTTGTATCTTACTAACACCAGCAAAAGCAGTAGTTGTGGACACGGAACGCAGCCTGTGTTGTGTTCTGTCCTAAGCTGGGCTCTTGAGGAACTGCAGCCAGCTCATGTCACTTGAGACCTCCTGCCTCATACCTGGCATGTGCCCCTCTGGCCTGTTCGTAACACCCTGGGAAGGTGTTAAGTGTAACCTAAGACCATCTATTCCAGGATTTAAAGTCTCTTTCCGTTCAAATATTTTCCCAAGAGACTTAAGCCGAAGGTCACCTAGT